GATTTTTGTGTTGTTGGTTTTTTGTTAAAACAATGAGAGCAAAATAACTTACTGGAATATAAAGATAAGAGCTGGCGGAGCATGCCGCTAATGGAGAAGGGGAGGTTTTCACAGAACCAGTGCGTTCCCCTCCCATCTCCATCTGATGTCAACCAAACAGAACACGGCTGCTTAGATAAAAAGAAAAAAAGTACAATATGCTTGTGCGCATACACCAGTTACTTTTATGCACAAGAAAGTATGGGGGGCGGTGAGAGAATAGAGAAAAGTATTCTGTGGTAGTCAGGATGCAGTGGGACCAAACTGAGGCTTTCTAATTGAGAACGGATTCTTGGTCTGTAACAAAATTCTGGAGTAAAGTAGCAGGTTCCCTTCCAGTAGGCACCGCCTGTCTGCTGCTGGAACAGTCAATTGTATCTCAGTCCTCCTGCTCCAACTGTGCAGGTGTGTCTGTTTCATTGATTGGCTGCCCATCAAATAGGAATCTGATCTGCCTCATTGACAAACCCTGCCGTTCACAATAGGCTTTCATTAGTTTACTAAGTGGTGTGCGCCTCTTAATCTTAAACTGCACCACAGAACCATCCAGCCCGGCCACCTTCAAATTAATATGATCGTTGTCCTCAGTCTCCAGTCCTTTCTTGGGTTTCTCCTCAGCCATGGCGAGCACCGGAGTCTCCTCAGCTGCCGTTTCGCAAAAGACTTTCCAGGTCCGCACTGAGGAGCCAAGAAGGTTGGTTTTTAAGATAGAATTTTTATTGAGTTTTTTGGCATTTCGTAAAATAGATCTTAATTAAATTTAGGTCCCCTACCCCCCCCCCTCTGCATTCTCCCCAGAGCACCCCACAGGATTTCATGCATTCTGTCCTGTGCGGGAAGGACTATCCGGTGAAGCTGTTGTACCTGGATGTCCCTTGGTGCACGTTCATTCGCTGGAGCCTGCTCAGCCGGCCTAGCATCACTCTCTTAAAGAAGATCAATTCTTCCTCACCCAGCAGTCATCAGCTTCC